ATGTTTCTAAACTCTAGTTAGTGCATCTCTCGTCCACCATCAACTGTCTTTCTTTTGGCGTTTTTTTGGAGGTGAGGATAAAAAACCGACGGGTAAGTGACTGGACTCAACAGTCCATTTCTGCTGTACAACGTTCCAATTCACTGAATTGCTTCTCAGAGCAGTGAACTTGTCGAGTGTGCCATACCCTTCCAGGCGGGATTTTATCAGGGCAGGATACTTGTTCAGGGTAGTAGGGAGGTCCTGCAGAAAGTGTCTGAACAGACACATGAGAAAGAACGTACCCTTAAGTTGCACTACAGCAGGTATTTACACGTAGGTACTCACTAGTATAGTGTAGGGTGTAGTTGGAGGAGCTTACCTGTGGTTTATTACCAACCAGAGTAAAACTATGCCACTCCTTGATAATTCTCCTTTTGTGGCTAGGAGTTTGCTTGTGGAGATCAGTAAAACATCTTTGTCGCAATCATACAGGCAGACACGAAACTGTTTCTCGTCAATAAGCACTGTTGGTACAAGTGCTTTGTGCTCAGGGTGGCGTGCTTTTGCAGTGAAGGAAGCCACGACACAAGTCCCAACTGCTTGGGGCAGGTTTGCCTCCTTGGACAGCACCTTTCCCTCCACCGCAGTACTACTCTGGACACTCCCTTCGTCGTCACTGACAATTTCCTCAACGAGTGCACTGATTTCCCCCGAGTCTTTCCGCCAGACAACCTCCATTCCCCTGAGTCTTGCATCCGGGGTTCCATGCCAAGTATCCACAGACCCCAGGCCAAGGTCACCAACCTGTAGCTCAGGTATCTGGGAAATCCGAGTGGTGTACCTGCTTTCCAGGAGGACTTCACGACATAGCGGCACAAAAATTTCTCTGCATAGCTCGACCATTATGTCTGTTTCCATGCGGTTGTACGGATGGAAGGGTGGCCAGATCTTCCTCCTACTGTGGGCGATGAACTCCAACACGGAAGTGCCCGCATCTACAGCTTCAACTGTGAAGAGGTCCTTAACCCGGATTCCCACCTGCCGATGGGCATCATCTACGTGTGCTGCTAAGCGCAAGTCCAAGGCTGAAAAACTGGAGAGCGTAGAAAAGCTGGAAGTCACCTTGTGCGGTACAAAGGCAATCTCAGCATTGATTTGTTCAATAGCATAGTACAGACTGCGTTGATGGTCCGTCACTGTCCCTGTAGCAGAGGAGAGGACACAGGTTGTATATACAGTACAGTGGTGAGCCCTCCCGTGTACTGTTCTAACACAAACACACCCACATACACTTCTCGTGTAAGGGCTGCGCCAGACTTTCAGAGAGGGCAGCAGGGTTAACGTAGTACATGTATACAAGTCGCGGTGGGGGCTAACCTGACATGTTTGGTGGTGGCTCTACGGATACTGCGACTCGACGCCGGACTAACCGCTAGCAGTGCAGGGTCAGAAAATATGTGGGGTTTTCTCTGAAAATGATCCGCTGCAGAGCTAGAGCGCTTCCAGCATTGTATGATGCCCGGTAGTCGCCATTTTATCGCTGGCAGATAATACGCATGCGCTTATATTTAGCACAGGCACCTCGACCGGGTCCGCTTGCTCTGTCCATCTTGAAGTCACAACGAATGGCGTGTATCGACTCTCGCGTGCTATCTACTACTGTAGCCCGTGTCAGCTCTCTGCGAGCTATATACTTCGCCGAGGGTTTGCACTTTAGTGCTTTATGTGAGATGGTGGGTGGACGGTGCGTGACGATCAGATGCCGCTTTACTCCGGCGGACGGGAGCGGTGCGCATGCGCAGATATACATATAGTCGTTTGTCCATGCTGCATCAGCATGCTGTCCTTGTCCTATATACTAATGTGGAGTTACACATTCGCGATCATGTCATGCAATTTGATAGTGATAAAACAATAAACATGCTCACATCACATTTACTTCTTCTTATCTGTGATGACCTGTGAAAAGAACACAAAACCAGGGTATATAGAAACAGGCCAGTGATCAGTTAGTGTTTTATATACCTGTCCAGCAATCTGGTCAAGATCTTTTTGTCCCTTTGACGTTATTCTGCGACCACTATAGACGACACAAAAAAGTCACATTCTGCAAGATTGCCGTGCACTCAAGGGCTCACACACTCAACAACACACAGAGGAGTATAACTACAGCGGATATGCTACGAACATACCGCAGGAGAGCCTATTAGAACACTGTACATCATTGCACCGCTTTCTACGGACGAGGTAGCAGCAAATGAAGCCTACACACACCAATTGATCCAACAACAGGACACGACGAGGATATTTTACATTCGTGTAAATCATTACTAGAATCCAACTCTTAAAACACAGTTGTAATGTCTTGACTTTATTGTACTAATGTAGCTTTTGTCAGGTTCGTAATTGTGCGAAAATTAAATACGCCTAGCTGCGAAGACACGTGTAGGTGCGAAGAAGTTGTTCGGCTGTTTGGCTGCGTTATTTTCATGATGTCTGACTCCGAAAACACAGAGACCTCTACAACACCTGCTCGGCCGTTCACTGCTGCTCGTGGTATGTGGTCCCGCAAGCGACAAGAGTGAGAAAGCTGCTAAGGCACGATCGATGAAGCGTGTTCGTGCGTCAAAAACTGGTGAGTCTGGTCTTTCATCGAGCCTCTCTGTACCCAGGATGACCCCTGAGAATGAGACTACTCCACTGACTGGCAATAGCATGACTGCAAGCCGCGATAGCCAAGGCGGTAAGTGCACTGGCCGCGTAGCGGCGATCCTTCAACTGAAACTGCTCCCACTACACAACCCCAGACTGGACACGAGCAAGCTAACATTCAGCCGGCTGAAGATGATGCTACTCCCTCTGTGTCGGGTTCCTCACCACTGTCACCGAGAAGTCTGGCTTGGTCGCGTAAACGCAGCCAAAGGGAGAGGGCTGCCAGAATGCACAGAGGGAGTGGCGGTGATGTCTAGGACAGTGAAGGAAATACGTCAGCAAGAGACCCTGACTTTGCTTATCAGTCCGAGGAAGAGCCTGAACATGACGACGATTCTAGTGATGAAGAATTCGCACCTCAGGAGTTTGACGACTGGATGCTGTCACTCCGCCTTGATCAGAGAAAGATGCTCTCTGTGATATTGATGAAAACGTTCAAGAGCCGAATAAAATGAATGCCAAAGATGGTGCTACGGAAGCTGGATCGGCAGTTGGATCGGCAGTTGGGTTCAACGAGAAGACGATGCAAAGAGACAGGAATGACTGGTAAATATCATTGATACAAGGGAAATAGCAACGTCTAGCTACGTGACGCGGCCTGCTATTGACACTATTGCCGATTTGTTCTATAGGACATTTAGAACATATTTGAAGGAAAACAGCAGAGTTATCAGAGCGTTTACCGACGCTCTATGTAGGGATGACACGAGTGAAATCTCACGTGATCCGCGTACATCCTCGAAACTCGGCGAGAATGGCTAGCTATGTCTTCAAAACACACCCAAAATCTCTCACGGGTCCATATCTACCTATACATATGCCCAGAAGTTTCATATGTCCCTGCAATTCTCGACACGAGAATCCGCTCTTATGCGATTTCTGATTTTCGTGTCATCATATTCTTCATCTTCTTCTTCTTTAAACCCGCTATCTCCTTACCAGTACCAGTTGGAGCGCTGATTTTTTCACTGAACGTCTCCAATTTCGTCCGAGGTGTGCACGGACATCAAGCGATCGTTTCTTTCTTGCCGCAAGTCACTACTGCAGATCATGGAGCTCTTCCATGGTCGACACTGAACAACGCCATTTGCTGCTAACTCAGCATCAATGGTTCAATGGTTATTATTGCATACACCAGTAAAGGCAGCAAAAAAAAAAAAAAAGGACAGAAATAATGGTATCAATCAATCATCATCATACCCTGGGTTTACAGGAGTTGTAACACAACACGCACACAAAAAACAAAACAAAAAAATAATGGAACATGGAGAGACATAGTCCGGGGTTTAGGTGAGAACGGCAAGTCTGGTGAGAGACAAAGACAGCGCTGTCGGCAGCAGGAACCAAGGGGGCTACCCATCCCGCCATGACATCCAACAGATGCCACGTGTTCGTGTCTAGCAGGGCTGAAGTCACTCAAGTTGACTTGCCTGGAACCTCATACCACCATAGATCAGGATTGCGGGGGCGTAGGCAGAGGTGAGATACCATCACAGGCTGTCGGCAACACGAACCAAAGGGGCTACCCATCCCACCGTGACGTCCACGACTACAGACGCCACGTGTCCGCGTCTAGCAGCTGCCTGTTGCTCGAAATCCCCGGTAGGCACCCCACACCCGTCAGGGGGTCTCCCACGCCATACACACGAACAAAACGGTGTCAGTCACAGAGCTAAGGCATAGAAAGACGCCTTAGAAAATACAGCAGTCGCATCAGTGAGCCGTGGAAATTTGATTTTGATAGGAACGGGTTCAGCGACAAAAAGTACATTACTATTCCATACTTCAATTGTAGTGAAAGTAGTAATAATAGTTGGTTTGTCTCTTATTATGTTCATGTGTTAGGTAAGATGAAAGCACAAATACACATACGTAAGCTAAAACACAAGCCCACATACACAAAATGGTATGCACAAACTATATGAAGCTCACTAGTAGAAAAGACGAACAGCTTGGGAAACACCGGCCTCTGTAACGATATATGTCGTCAGTCTCAAAAATGACACTGCTCCAGCAGAAGCTGAGAATGTATCACAAAATATCAACGTCAAACCTAAAATAAATTATGAACAAAAAACTATGACATGAAACTAATAGACAAGAGGAACGACACTCTAATTTTTTTAAATGGGCAAAGTACATAAGTGAGTGTGAAAATGCAATTATACCCAGGAGATTATAATATGTTATGAGGAATGCCTGTTTGGCGAGCGAGCGCAAGAAGTTCATGCCCATCATTTTAACCGCAGTGCGAGCAGTTATTTCACACGTGATTAGAGCGTTAGGGACGGTCAGTCACGGCGCCCCATATAGCAGTACAATATTCTTGTAGAAGCGCTTACGTATCGCCGGATAGAAAATGGCACATCCGCCCGTTGAGACCACTAGGTAGGCTCGCTTAGCTCGCCAATTAACCAACCAAAATTTGACACCATTTGGTTTAGGTGATGCGCCCACGAGTGATGGCACATGGAAACTTAATTTTTAGAGAAAGGGGACCAATTCACTTCTATATCACTGTTTGCTGAATTCTTCCTAATTAAAGGTTTATGCTGTTTCCTGTTTTTAGACCGCAGTCACGCGCAATTGACCAATCAGAATACAGAATTGCGGGGGGTTTATTTTTCATAGACACCTCGTTTCAGGTGTCTAATGGCGTTTGCAGGTGGTCTACAGCAAACTCCCCGTACAAAATGGCTATTCTCAAAAGTCGTTATCTGCGCAAACCGGCCGATTCCACGTCCGGTAAGCGTAGAAGGCGCGACTGGTAAAGTAGCTCTTTTAAAAATGCGTAGTGCACCTGCAAGAAGTCTGTGGACAGTCTCCGGAGCTCGCGAAAGTCAGAAATGACGTCAATATTCTACGAAAAAAGCGTCGGCCTCTTCAGCTCTGGCGATACACAAACACATTGGGCCGTTGCTAACCCTTTCAAACGCGCACGACCAATGAGGGCGTTTTATGATGACGTAAACGATGTTTGACGGGGGGCGGGGCTGTCTCCTCGGAGTCGGACAAAATCTCGCACGTAAAAAAAGCGTCTTGTTCCATCCGAAGGTAAGAATGAGCGCAGCGTTGCTAGCTTGTTGCTACCCATTTGAACGCGCAAACACCAACCAGATACTTCGGTCTAAACCGGTTAGACGCGGAAGCTCGGTGTCAACGTTACATTGCAACCCTCGGGGCATGTGGGTAGCGCCCTCGCTGCGCTCGGGACGCCAACATTCCACAGCCCCTCGGGTTGCAATGTAGCGTAGACACCTCGCTTCCGCGTCTAACCTATATTTATGTAGCTACTTTTACTCAACTTTTGTGACCCATTTGGGATGTGTCGGCTCATAAGGGGTATATCTAAAGATAGAACACAATAGCTAGTTAACAATAGGTGGAAGGCTGAAACATTCTGATGCGATTCCTCCCAAGTGTGTGTGCTATAATATAGAACAGAGCTGCTTGCAGCATGTGAGAGGTCCGGATATAAGCTGACAACATGGCCAGTTACTTGAAACAAATTCGGTTGACTAGGAAACTGTAGGACATGTGAATTTCTATACCAAGTTGTGTCGCTCCCGCTCGCCAAAAATGTTCAACATTTCCACTAGTATATATACGACAGCGTACGTCGTGTAAATGTGCATGCACGGCTTTGTACCAAAGTCAGCAGTTACATGAAACAGCAATAAATTCCTAGGGTTGAGTATACACTATAGTTTGCAAATGAACTACTATAATACTTTCTTCTCTTCTTTACAGCTTCACTGTTTTGACAACTGCTTGCGTTTCTAGTTTGTCATCTTCAACAGTTTCAAGACACGAGGGTGAAACTGCTTGGAGATCTGTTTTGTAAAGAACACTGATTAACATTAAAGTCACAGAATTATAGTGTAGCTATATACCACTTTGTGTGATTGTGCTATTTCTCTTGTGTCTGGCCCTCTGGTTTGTAACCAGCAAGAAGCACGTGATCAGAGTAGTCAGTAGGAGAATAACCAGTGCTAGACTCAGTGCAACTGAAAGTCCAGTCATTACTCTGGATTTTGAAGCTGCATAATTATACCAAATTATGATCAATACTAATATCAAGAAATGGTGTTGTTACCACTCTCAGTCTTGGTGTTGCCACAGATTGGTCTGATTTCAAGCTTTACATCTTGAAGGTGCAACATAGAAGGCCCTTCAGATCCATCCTCTTGTATTTCATGCACAGACATACCAAATACCCCTGTTTGTTGCACTGTAAAGCATTTTAAAACTGGTACATAATCATTTGTTCCGCGAGAAATGTTGAAGACCAGCAGTGTGTGTTCATCAGAGTAGAGTTTCAGAGAACACCCTATTGCAGATGAGCCACTGACAAAAACACAGGAACAACATATTCCCCCAATTACTGGTTCAATAGCAGAGTAAAAACCTGCAAAGATAAAAACAACTTTCAAACAAAATTAATAGTCCACTAATGGTATATAAGGTCGGGTAAAGTAAAGATACACAGGTTTTATGAAGTCCAACTGTTGTGACAATTGGATGCAACATGGTTGGTGCCACAGCTGTAATTTGTGAGATAGAATACTTAACTTAGCCAAATGAAGGTGCAGGCTTTAAATTTGGAATTGATGCATGCATGCCAAAACGAATTTGACTACAACTTGGTCTATAATTCAAACCAGGTTGAGATGTAGGAGAGGGTGTCTTTGTTGGTGCAGACGAAACCGAGAATGTTCCTTCAGTGGTGGTACTCAGGAGTGTAGAGAGTGCATGAGATGTAGAGAGCTCCAAGATGGTAGAGCTAACTCTTAGTGTGACAGTATCTCTGACTAAAGAAAAAGTATGGATATTGGATATTGACTGCGGTGCTTTAGTTGTTGTGACAATTGCTCGAGGGAATAAAGTAGGCGTGAAATACTGATTGCACATGTCACTGTCATTACAGCACAACACAGCCTGAGTCTCTGAGACACGGCCACAGAATGTTGGATTCCAGGTTGTAAACACACAGCCTAAATCTGTCCTGATGGAACCGTCATCACGCACTGATCTTCTGGTATAGCATGCACTGTGGGATGTGTCGATTGTGCAGGTCCATTCTTCCCACCGACAATCACTTAGTGGTGCTTGATCATTGCAACTGCATCTCAGTGCTGTGAAATAATGTAAAGATAAATATATCTACATTCGTACAGTGCAAAACATTTCAGTGGGTCGGTGAAAGAACACCTGCAGGTACAGCACTGGACAAATCAAAATGATTCTCAAACAGCTAAGCACTAAGCCCTCAAAATTATTTCTGTAGCAGTTAATGGGTGTACATAAAGCAAGAAAGGTATTAATTTGTCACAATACGTTCACCACCATTAATTACTCCAGTACTTCCTCCGTTGACCTCCTCCCGTGAATTAAAATTACATTCCTTGTTAGCCACATTCGTTTTTGATTGTAGAGTAATAGTACTCATGAAGTCTACATAATGTGTGAACCGGACATTATTAGAGTACTACAGTAACTGTGAGTGCTGAGTCTAAAAAGCGAAGTAAGGTATTGTGAGTAGCTACAATGTGCAGCAGGTGTGTTTAGTTCATGGGTGGTCTGCACTTGCAGAGTGCATGAAGATATTATGATGCACAAGCCCAGCAGCCAGTAAACAGCACCACTACACCAATGAAAAGCACTAAAGTGCAAACCCTCGGCGAACTGCGCATGCGCTGTACTTCTAAATTGATGGGCTGGGCCTATTAGTCAGCGTTTACCCGTGATCTCCCGCTAGTAGCTCGCGGAGAGTCTGACACGGGCTAGCTACAGTAGTAGATAGCATGCGGGAGTCGATACACGCCCTTCGTTGTGACTTCTTGTGCCTCCGAGGTACACAGATAAAGCGGAGCAGGTCGAGGTAAGCTAGTGCTAATTAGCATATTGGCTTGTTCACTTGGTTTTCACGCCATAACTTCTGAACGCAGCACTTTTAAGAAAATCTCCATTTTTAAAATCAAGCCAGTGTAGCGCTGAACCAGTTGGTGTCGCTATTTTACCTGTTTGTTGCGCGTGGTGGCAGAAAACGTGGTAACAGACGGACAGACAGACGGACAAACCAAGTACTGTAACCCTCGCTGCGCATGCGCGCCGAGGGTAATTAGTGCAAGATATCTAAAGATGACCCGTAGCTAGACGCATATACCCATACGAATAGTTGATAGTTATGGACTTTTTGTGAATTCTTGCTTTAGCAGTGGTGTATATACATCTCATTTTTGGCTGTATCCATTCCTGAGACTGACAGGCTGAGGCTCATCAGTAAGTAGTTACTACTATTGAGGTTGAATAGGAAAAACTATCTACTTATATAGTGCATGAAGATGGGATCTTGCTCCCGCATGGTATCTACTGCTAGCTAGGCTGTGTCAGACTAGCTAGACTCTAGGCACACCAGATACCAGCGGGAGACCACAAGTAAAGGAATACTAATAGCCCAGCCGGAATCGCGCATGCGCATTTCGCCCAGGGTTTGCACTTTAAACTTTTTCATTACTCCAGTACTTCCTCCGCTGACCTCTTCCCGTGAATGAAAATTGCATTCCTCATGAGCCAGATGCGTTTTTGATTAGTAGAGTAATAGTACTCATGAAGTCTGCAAAATGTGTGAACCGGATATATATTAGAGTACTACAGTAACTGTGAGTGCTGAGTCTAAAAACTGAAGTAAGGTATTGTGAGTACAATGTGCAGCAGGTGTGTTTAGTTCGTGGGTGGTCTGCACTTGCAGAGTGCATGAAGATATGATGCACAAGCCCAGCAGCCAGTAAACAACACCGCTACACCCACCAGTGCAAGATATCAACTATGTATAAAGAGGAACCGTAGCTAGACGCCTATACCCTTACGACTAGTTGATAGTTACGCATTGCTATAGTTTTTCTCATGGACTTTTTGTGAATAATTGCTTTAACAGTGGTGAATAAATCTCTTTTTTGGCTGTATCCATTCCTGAGACCGACAGGCTCATCAGTAAGTATAATTATATATAGCTACTACTAGGTAGACAAGGAAAGACTGTCTGCTTATATAATATTATAGTGCATGAAGATGGAATCTAGCTCCCTCATGGTATATATTGCTAGCTAGCATGTGTCACTAGCTATATAGACTAGGCACACCAGCTACCAGCGGGAGACCACGAGTAAACGCATACTAATAGCCCAGTCGGGATCGCGCAGGCCGAGGGTTTGCACTTAGCTTCATTACTCCAGTAGCTACTTCCTCCGCCGACCTCCCGTGTTTTTTATTGTAGAGTAATAGTACTCATGAAGTCTACATAATGTGTGAACCGGACATTATTAGAGTACTACAGTAACTGTGAGTGCTGAGTCTAAAAAGCGAAGTAAGGTATTGTGAGTACAATGTGCAGCAGGTTTGTTTAGTTTATTGGTGGGCTGAACTTGCAGAGTGCATGAAGGTAGTGTGATGCACAAGCCTAGCAAACAGCACTGCTACACCTATATACCCATAATTATTAATTGTTTATGCATTTTACAAGACAAATGTAGCTGTTCTCATTGGCTTTTTGTGAATTTTTTTCAGTGGTGTATAATTATATATAATATTTTGGCTGTACCCATTCCTGAGACCGACAGGCTCATCAGTAAGTAGCTACTACTACTGGGTAGAATCGGAAAGACTGTCTGTTTAGTGCATGGAGATGGGATCTGGCTTTATGACGCACGGTGTTTTTTAAGAATAGTACATTTGTGTGACATAACTAGAGTTTGTACCCAAAGGCTAACCATACAATGATGGAAGTAAGATGAAGGAGAAGAGCACAACCAATGTAGGTTTCCGCAACATCACACCTCACTGCTTTCCTGACGCTCGTCAAGTCTGTAGGTTTGAGGCCAAAATCTTCGACGGGACTGACACACTATATACTGGAGTTGCGGGTCACACGGCGCGCATGCGCATGGAGTTTGTGGCCGTCCCCTCGGCCCCGCGGTGACGTAAATACTAGGGCAAGGCATTTTATAGACTCAACGTCTTCTTCCAGCTAATCGTGTGTATGTTTTTATTTCCATTTTTCAGACCCTTTCAGCGTGCAACCACTAGGGTAAGCCGAAAATCGGACACCATCGTTTTTCAGGACGCACTGAAGACTAAAACCAAATTACGTTGTTTTTGCAGCGTACAGGACATATTGGCGAGGAGCGGGAGCGAGCCAACCTAGTCGTTCGTTCGGGCGGAATGTATCTTACGTCGTACGTCGTGTAAGTGCGCATGCGCGGCTTCGTTACACGCATCCATCCACCCGTACACACGTGTGCTAATCTGACAACCGTGGCAACCATGGATCATCAGTGTACAGAGGATGCCCTTCGTCGTCGAAGAGAGCGGGAAAGAGAACGTCGTGCCCGTGAGACTCCTGAGCAGAGAGAGGCTCGGCTTTCTCAACGCCGACTGCGTGATAGGGAACGGGCAAGGGAACGCCTCGCCGCCGAAACAGCGGAGGAAAGGGAAGCACGACTAGCGAGACGTCGTGTGGATAGGGAACGCATCGCCGACGAAACAGCGGAGGAAAGGGAAGCACGACTAGCGAGACGTCGTGTACGAGATAGAAGCTACCACGCAAGGCGAATTGCTGCCGAGTCCAGCGAGGAGAGAGAGGCCCGCCTGCAACAGGTACGACGTAACCGACAACAACGGATTGCTGCCGAGTCCAGCGAGGAGAGAGAGGCCCGCCTGCAACAGCTACGACGTAGCCAACAACAACAGATTGCTGCCGAGTCCAGCGAGGAGAGAGAGGCCCGCCTGCAACAGCTACAGCGTAACCGACAACAACAGATTGCCTCAGAGACTCCACAAGAGACTGAAGCAAGACGTCAGCGTGACCGAGAAAGTCACATGCAGCAGGCAAGTACTGCCACTTCAACCCAACCTCAACTTCACCAGCCAATCGCCCAATCAAAGATGAACAAGTTCCATTCTGAAATGGCATCTTTGCAGATGTCCATGTGCATCACATGCCATGAGAGGTTCCCTGGCTTGACTGTCCGGATGACTCCATCTGGTACAGAGTGTTCGCGTTGCGTTCGGGACAAACACAGTCCTAAAGCGTACTCATCACTGAACAACATGGACCCTGGTCCTCTGCCACATGAATTATCTGTAAGTCACAGTTATGGGATGGGAATAGTGTTATGATTGCCTCACCTATTGTGATGATTGTCACACCTATAGCAAAGAAAAACACTGTTACCAGAAGCTACATTTTCGCCGAGTCTGACACAGGTGGAAGAGATGCTCATCTCTGCAGTGATGCCCATCATGTCGCTGTACAGACTGCCACAGGGACAGTACGGGTACACAGGACATGTAGTCAACCTGCCACAGGATGTGGCCTCCTTCGCCCAGAGTTTGCCACGACTGCTCTCTGACCTGGATGTCATTGTTGTGAGGAGGGAAGGAGCCAATCAGACCCATCGTGACTTCCGAGTAAGGCGAAGTGTAGTTCGCAGAGCTCTGCAATGGCTGGTTATCCACAACCTGTACTATCGATCCTTGGGTATTACCATCGACACCACGGCTTTGGAACAACTCCCACAAGATGGAAATGTTTCTGACCTTGTATCAGTCACTCAAGAGACCTCATCCTCAGACAGTTGTACCAGCACATCAACAGTTGACGGGACTTCTAGGGATATAACCACTGATACATTGTACGATGAGCATCTGCAACAGTCATTCGTTCCTATTGCTGCCCCCTCAATGACGAAGCAGGAGGCAGTGCAGCAGTCAGTGGATCAGCGTCAATCCAGCTCCTCCTCCCACGCACCTCTGATGTGGCCCTCTATTGGTCAATGAGTTCACCACCGAGGGCTACTTCACCTGTGCCTTCCCCACCCTCTTCCCCACAGGAGCAGGTGACTTCCTCGGCCAGCGTCAGGTCCCAGCCACCATCGGGAACTACTTCAAGCACCTGATGCAGTACGATGATGGTCGTTTTGCCAAGCATCCACGATTTCGTTTCTTTGCTCTCAACACCGAGATGCGACACCGTGCCCTTCAGACTGGCCGAGTGTACGTCAGACGACCTGCGGGACAAGGTGGGGAGACAGGGGTACGGTAGTTTGGTCTGTCTGTCTGTCTATCTGTCCGTTACTCTACATCTCACTTCACGGGTGTTTGTTCGTCTCACAAAGGATATGACCTGCTCGGGCAACGAAGGTCAGAAAATAAAGGCGGTTTTCTCTGAAACTGCTCCGTTGCAGAGCTAGAGCGCGAAAAATCCGTACACAACGGACAGGATAGCTTACCGCGATCTGACCGATCCGTGTGCTCTGCGTACCTCGGAGGCACCAGAAGATGCATGCAACGCAGGGCGTGTATTGCCTCTCACGTGCTATCTAGTAGTGTAGTTAGCCCGCCGCGTCAGACTCTGCGCGAGCTGGCAAGAGACCACGAGTAACAGCTAAAATTAAACCCAGCCCATCAATTAGTGATACGGCGCGCGTTTACTTACGCGTGCGCATCACAATGAGCCGAGGGTTTGCACTTCAGTGCTTTTCAATTTTATAGAGGCCATCCCTATCTCGGAGGGTCTCTTAATCAGAGGTTCCACTGTATTTGGACGTTTGGGAGTTATAGGCTGCTCTTATGTTGTATATACAAAACCACGGGTTCCTGAAGAAGTATTTTTGCATGATGGTTGTGCAGGTGCAGCGGAGTTATACTGTCACACAATAACAGCATTTCCGTCTGTCTGTCTACATTATCGAGCTGATCTTGGATCTTGTCCATGCAAAACACCGGAACAGGTATAGGCAGCGTACCACACATGACCTTTGTTCTTTTGTTCTAAGCATAGCCTAGTAGTCTGACGTGCATGATGTTATGTATAAAACGGTGCATCATCTGACTTACATGCATTTTTATGAGTTATCTGAGGATGCATTGGTGGTGCAGTTCTATACCAGCTTGTATATTCTTGCCCCCCCCCTCTTGCCCTGCATTAATATATCTGGATGTCGTAACCAAAGTGGAACTGAAAATCTGTGATCAAAATTATCGGGAGGCTCACATCACACTACTATAATTAGTCTGACACAGGGTTTTCCGCCCTAGCTATATATGCAAAAAAGATATATACCTCAATCCTCCTTTCTCTCGCATCATTACCTATTTCGCAGTTCGACGAAATTTGGAGTTTAGGGGCGACCGCTAAACTTGTTGGTTTATGCACTAGTTTTTCCTCGTTTCCAGATGTCTCCTGCATCTGAAAGCACCAACTCAGTTGTCTTTAACGAGCAGGAAACCGTGTGCTCGTGTATTGATGATACGCACGTAGCAATTCCCGCCCGCGCCCACGGACCTGCCCAACTGCGTGACGTATGTTTCTGAAGAGCTCAATCACGGCATTGGCTGTCTAGCTATAAAAAAGGACACTGTGGCAGCATAATTACTTTCATCTCCTAAATAATTGCATCTCTTCACTCTGCAATCGACGCCTAGAGAGTGCGATGGAAAA